ACAATGTATGAACTGTAATCGATGGTGTCAAGTCTCTAACATGAGATCTAGATGAGAAGAAGATAGACAGAGGGGATTGAGAAGAACTAGTATCAAGATAACTGAGAAATAGAGAGAAATTAGAGAAAATCATAGTAGTCAGTGGCTATTTTTTTGGTGATATTTCATAAACAATACGAATAAATTTATACATCGCTACTCTGCTTATTTCTACGTAATTCATCCCAAACCAACCAAAAGAATGAAATAACAGTTCCATAGCCGAATTAAATATCGAGGAAGAAACTAGCAAAACTAACAATCTTACTAATCAAAGCAGTTAGTCAGCTCATTAAATGATTATCAAAATTAAGAAAACTGAAACTTCGACCAGTCAATTCTAGAGGTCTTTTTCCTTTAAGTTCCTGCAGTAGCTTCCTTCTCCTCAATCAGTACAACAGCTTTGGACTTAATATTTCACTTTGTTTCAATGAAATCCTTGTTCTCAAGAATAAATTCTGAGAATTGAGCTTTCATGTGTAGCAAATCCTCCCAGGTAGTTTCTTTTGAACTTGGATTCACTCATTGGACTAAAATCTAAACCATGGGCCTGTTCTGCAGGTGTATAGTTCTTCTTTGCAGAATAGCTAGTGGTGTTCAATCTTAAGTTCCAGTTGTTTTCGCCACCTTTGGTAGCTCAACACAGTGCACCTTGTTAACTTATATGCCAAAGAACAAAATGGAGCTCCCCTTTTGTTCTTTGGCATCAGCAAATTGCTTAGCTTAATTTTTCGCCTCCATCAAATTTTAGTAGGGCAGAATTAGAAGAGAATAATTGAAAAAAAATTTACTTTAATTCTAGAGATTGAAAAAAGTAGTCGGTGATAATTAATCCACAATGAGTATAGTCAAGAACCCAGTTCATTATGATCGAAATAAGTATATGAAGATTGATAGACACTTCATAAAAAGAAAATAGAGTCAAGAGCATTATGTGACACATTCAATCTTACCATCAAACTGCGGGTATTTTCATTGAGGCGTTACCTAGGAAGACTTTTGAAGAATTGAGTTCCAAGCTTGGTTTGCTCAACATCTTCAAAATAGCTTGAAAAAGAGTGTAGGAATCTGACTTCTTCTAGAAATCCAATTCCTATACAGATTGCCATCTTTAGGAAAATCTCCTTATAAAGCAAAATCATAGTTGACTTCTATAACAAGAAGAGTTTTTCTTTTTATAAGACTGATTTGTAATTAGTTTCCTATTAAAATTCTCTCTGATCTTCTTTTATATATATATTCAGATATTGTAAATTAAATATCATAAATAAAAATTCAATAAACAGAAAATTTAGTTACAAAATTTCCGCCTCAAGATGTCTTTTGACAACCTGTTTTGATACTAAGTTGTTACAGGCTAGTGTCTTGTCACAAGTCATTGAACCACAAAGTCTTGCAACAAGCAAGAAGCTTTTTTGTTAGATATCTTGCCTTCTCTACCTGCAGTGGTGATTTAGGGCTCATTAGGGGAGAGCTGAAGAGCTATTAAAAATAATCTAATTTAGTTATAGTTGTTCAGATTCTTTAAAGGATAGCATTCTGATCATCTCCTAGTCAAATTACTTGCCCATCCAAAAAGATACCTAACGAAAACCAAACCCTAATCTTGTTATAGACTAATATTGTTATATGACCTGGTAGTAGTAGTATTTCGCCTTTCCTTTGTCCGCCAGGGGAAGAAGAAGTAGAGTTATCTTATGCATGTTTATCATTTATCATATGTATTTCTTGTCTTCTATATTGTGTACTGTCTTTAATCTAAGACTAACAAGTATATTGTTATATGACATGTTTATCGTTTATCATATTGAATTGGTCTTAAGTAGTTATATTAGGGAAAAGAACAGCTGAAGTTTGAGGAAGGTGTTCTTCTCTCTACTAAATTCATTCAGCATAAACGAAGAAATAGCAGTTTATTCTAGAAATATTACAATTTTATTACTTAAGAGATCATTTGGTTCTCTCTTTAATTGAATGCATACTCTGTGCGTGTGCGTGAACAAAATAAGTAAAGGTAGAAGATAAAGAAAATATTCATCTGCAGTAGCAGAAAAATTAGTATTCTAGAAGGAGAAGTTATTCAGGTGAAGAAAGTTTTTCTCCTGCCATGGTTCCCACATTTGTAGACTGTAGGCTCTTCACTGAACTGATTGGAGTTATCGGAAATGACTAACATGCTAACTTCCTTTTTCACATGGTACCAGAAGAAGTTCAAAACTTTCCAGTAGTATCACATAAGGCACAGAATTAAAATACAATATAAAATAGTAAGTTCGGTCATTTCCTATTGTCAATTGTGTGATCAGATGTATATCTCATTGCTGCATGTGTGTAAGCAATAGTAGCACTAAGAATGAGTTATGGATCAAAGTTAAGAAGTAATCAAAAGTGTGGGCATGTATGTGGTGGTTCTTTCAAATTGTGTTTTGTAGCTTTCGACAGACCATAGATGGGAAGGCGTAGATTAGGTTTAAAAAAATAAAAAAAGCAACAGTTCTGATATAGCTTTTGGATCTGAAGGGTGTGATAGAAGAGTTAAAAAGGAAAATTGAGGATTTTGAAGCACACCATTCTGAAGTCGAGAAAGAAAGCAAAGCAAGAGTTAAAGAGGCAGAAGAAGCACAACAAAAGGTAGTGCAACTACAAGACAGAGTTGAAAGGTAACCAACTAAATAAGAATCAATATTGACTGAACTCTTCTGTCCGTGATTTGAAGTGAGTCAATAATTTATTACTGACCTTCAGATTAGAATTGAACCTG